AAAAAAAAAAAAAGAAAAAGAAAAAGAAAAAGAAGATCGCTATTCATACGCGTAGCTTGGGAAGCGCGAAAAATTATGCCGGAATCTTTTTTCCCCCCTTTCTGCCTGAATCGGCGACAGATTACACAGTTCCTTGCTTGCACATACTGGCCAAATCACACCAGATGACGTAATATCCTTTGACTCTGTATTATAATAAGGGATGAATGCGAGGTAGAAGAATGTGACGCGTGAAAGGATGATACCTCTCTATACAGAAAAACTTTTTTGTTTGCGTGATCCGTCCGAAGATGCTCGATTTTGTTTTTTTCTTTTTTTTTTTCCCCCTTCTTCGACGGCACGAATCGAGTGGTGCACGTGATGCATAAAAGTGGTGCGATGCAATTTCTCGTAAAGACTAGCGCCGTAAATGGTACTCGCCGAATTTTATAATTTCACGCCGTGTACAATGACCAGTTAGCTTGTATTTTATATAATTTGCTCGTGGAGACATTGTTTCTTTATTACGTTTATCGAATACTTGTTATATCACGATACTCGTTCAATTTATTGACAGTAACTTGGAATTCTCGTGGAAATGTCGACTAACTAAACTGTTCGGTGCTTGAAGCCGAGTCATCACGAAGAAGGGAGATGAACCCGCTCCGAATGGAGTTTCAGAATCATCCACCCTGGAAAAAAAAGAAAGAAGAACCGTCAGCGAGGAATGTCAGGGAAAATGGATGATAAGCTGTCGTCGAATGATATTACGGGCACAGTTGGAAAAGACAAATTAATCGTCTACGCGGATTGTGGCCAACGAAACAGACACACCGTGTACGTTGAGTGGAAGGCAGAGGCGGTATATGCCTGAGAATGAATGCAGGTCGTTTCGACAGCGCAGACAGGTTTTTCCCTTTGAAGTGCATCTTCCGGGTTCTCATCCGCTCCTTCGCTGCCTGCTCGCTCTACGCATTCTCGCATCCAGCCGATTCGTCTCGAAGGCGATTGAGAATCATCGAGCCTTCGCTGTTCGGTATTCGCCACGACGAGGAACTCGCGACTCGCGAGTACCCTGTAATTTCGCTCGTATTAACGCGCTACACCTCGAAAAAACTTCGAGTTGTACCGAACTGTAGCGTTCTGATACTCGCGACTCGTTTGATT